TACCTCGCGTCTACCACACGTAGCACCGACTCGCGTCTCTTGCCGCTGCACAACACAACATTCTGTTTCTTATTTTAGCACTACAAAACTGAATGCCTTTTCAAAATTTTCGAATTCGCACAACCGTTTGTGGTCGTTTAAAATTATCGCACTCTTTGTTTAAGTTATGGATTACGCATCATCAGATGGGATCGTATCAAGCGCTACTTTGTTCACTTTATTACAGATCATGAGATCCGTGTCCTTATGTGGAGATTACTTTTGGTCTCGCAGCAGGCGGGCGGCGTCTAGAAGCGCCAGGCCCGCACGGTCCCGTACCGTCACATCGCTGCCGCGTGCCACCAGTTCTGCCACTAGCTCCGTGCTCGCGCCCTGACAAACTGACGTCATGATACGAGTTATATTACAGTACAAACCATATGTGTGACTACCCCGACATACCCTAACATTTGTCGATGACTTTGCCGGACGCGATATAACGATGTTCCGTTTGAAGTACTGTAACATATTATTGTTACTAACTTGCTCTGAATAGCGGCGTCCAGCCGTTGTGATCGCGCACGTTGGTGTCTCCGCCATGAGCGAGCACGTGCCTCACAACTTGCACGCTGCCCGAGTCCGCGGCGTAGTGCTCCGCGCGCAGGCCGTTAATGTCTTGTGTCTGTATTCACCACATTATAGAAACACTATTTTGGCAATTGCAACATACATAAAATACATTCCTTCTTTTAAAAAAAAACCTCTAAGTCTGCGCCATTGTCCAGCAGAAGGTCAATGATAGGCAGATGTCCGGCGAGAACCGCCAGGTGCAGTGGGGTCTGCCCTGCGGCGAGTGCGTGCCCCGCCGCCGCCCCGGCCTGCAGTAGGAACCGCACCGTGTTCACGTCACCTTACAAATTAAAAAGGAAACGGGAATTAAACTCTTCACTGGCTTAGTCTATCTAATGACAGAATCACTCAGTATATATCAATCTGTATGTGTAGTGCTATATTTAGATTTTAAAAGCAACCTTTCCTGACGGCGGTGGCGAGGGGGGAGAGGCCGTTACTGGGGACGATGTCTATGAGCTCCGGACGCTCCTCTAACATCGCCTGCAGCTGTGGAACGACACAATATATATTACAATTATGCCATTGAGATTGCAACGAACATTTTTAATAAATTTATTGGTGTTTGTGAATTGAGTGAATAATATAACAACCGACTACTGACCTGTTTGATGTACCCGCAGCGCACTGCCATGCAGAAGCAGACGGCCGACACGCCGTCAGACTCCGTGCTCGTCCATGTCTCTTCCGACCATTGAGACACCAGACAGCTTCTGGTTAATAAAATAACAGAAAAATACATGTTTGTTGCCACACAAAAATCCGGCAAACATTGATGTGGCAAAAATTGTTTAAGTTAGGTTAGGTACAATGTTATTAGTCATTAATTTGGCTAGGGTGCACTTCTCAGAAATTCGTGAATGAAGGTAAAATAATCTTTACCTATCCTTGCGATTTTGTTCACTATCTTCATCGGCGCACTGCACATCTTCCACAAGTTGTGTAATGTTGGTAACAGTTGTGTTGACGTCTCCGTGGTGTGTCAGCGCGGCGGAGGACAAAGCATCAACGTCGGAGGCGCGCAGCACTGCTCGCAGCCGGAACTTGTGCGGATGTCGCGGAGGAAGATTGTCTATTGTTTTTGATGTTCTACCGCCGCTGAATTAAAATACACGCATATTATACTAATTATTATTTAGTGAATCGAAAGTTTTGTACAACTTATTAAGGAAATTGCTAATTCGATACAGAGTTAATGTGAAGTGGAAGTGCAAACTATTTTTAATCAAAAAATAATCTTTGATTATGAATAATTATGGTCGTATTTCGATCAATGGGCGACTACCAGTATAGATAAATTAAGTATGTAATTTATTCCTAAAGGTTAAATAGTTACCACGAAATTAGTCCGCCATGATGCTCGTATTGTAACATGTTGGTATCACTACGTTTTTAAAGAGAATATGAGAGATTCGAAATGTTTTTATACTAATCTCCGTAGAGTGGAAACACAAGCATTATAAATAACTGAAAAACAATGAAAAGTAATTGTAGAACAATGCCATCACTTATATTTCCTGATCCGAAGTATCAATTAAAGTGTTCTTTTGTTGCTATAATACGTTTAGTTAACTTCGACAAACCTGTAGACGAGTTCCCAAGGCGGTATCTTGTCTCTCCTCTCCAGTTGGTACAGCAGCCGGTGCTCCAGGAAGACGAAGGCACTCGGCGGCTGCCACAATAGCGACACACTGTTCTTGCTTCTCTCCACAACGTCCGGCGCTACTGGCTTGCTACTTCTAAACTTTCTCCGCAAAAAATCATCAAAATCCATTAAAAATTGATGTTTATAGGTTCTTGAAAATTAAAGAAATTTTGTTTGCGGCGGAAAGAGTATGAACCAGTGAAATCTTTTATCATGTGTTTGAGGTAACCACTGACTACGTCGTTTGATCGATCCTGTTCAACTCGCTTGTTCAGATCGTCTGCGATCTTTGACTGAACTAAAACATCACGATTAGACTTATACAACTATGTATTTTCATTCAAAGACTACAACTACTCTAGTTAAAGATAAATCGAGCAATTTATTTGTTAGTTAAAATATCCACAAATGAGACCGATTTTCAGACATTTATCGAAGCGTGTCGAATCTAGGTTGAATTTGATGATATATGTAGCGGCAGCACAAAGCGCTGCGAGCTGCGAGTTCCGTTCCCACTGAAATATAAACGACATCGATTTAGTTCCCTCAGCTCGTTAAT